TACTCCCGTAAAGATTTACACCCTCGGAAACCCTGCACAGGGTCGCTATGGGTCGGACCCGACTCGATGGCACTTAACAACAACAACAACAACAATCAGCAGTGTATTTTAGGTCCATCACTTTTGCTGTATATAAGGAGGAGTTTAGGCACAAATCAAGGAAGGACAAACAGGGTTGGAAATAGTCCACATGAAGATTGTCTAGCAACCAAGGAGAAAAGAAACAAAGGCCCTGAGGGTCCACAGCGACAAAAAGCTTGTCTTAGAGCTAAGGCCCAGAATTTGGATTTCTTGCCTCCTCAACTGTGCAGAGATAAATGTATTTGTTAAAGCCCCACCACTAGTGGTATTTGTCACAGCAGCACCAGAGAACTAAGATTCTTGCTCTGTGCCCTTCCTTCGTATGGTTCTAGGCACCTGCTTCCCAATCAAACCTACTGCCTAGAGTCAAATTCTGATTCACAGTGACCCTATGTTGTTGTTGTTTCTGTTGTAAAGAGTTGGTTCAGAATCATAGAGACCCTGTATAGGGTTTCTGAGGAGCAGCTGATGAGTTTGAACTGCTGACCTTGTGGTTAGCAGTTCAGTGCTTATTTTACAGCACCACACCAGCCTACTATGGTGGCCCCATAGGACAGAGTACGACTGTCCAAAACGGTTCCCATCTGTCAACTTTACAGAAGCAGGTTGTCACACTGACCTTTCTGTTAGCAGCCAGCACGTAAGCACTGTGCCACCAGGCCCTAATTTGCTTGAAGGAGACTTTTATACGCAACGAGGAGATTATAGACTGCTGTGGTGTGCTTGTGGGGGAGGCCAGGGTATTTCCATGGCAGACTGGGGACTTTAAGGATAGAACCCTCTGATTTCTGCCCTAGCTCAGCCTCTTTCAGCTGGGTGGACTTGTTTCCTCTTCTATAGAATGGGAACAGAAATAGCACCAACATCCTGGGGCTGTTGTGAGAATTAAGGAAATGCTGTTATTAAGTGCTGTCGAGTGGGTTTCGACCCATAGTGACCCTGTGTAGAGTTTCCAAGGAGCTTCTGGTGAGTTTGAACTGCCAACCTTGTGGGTCAAACTGACTTTGTAGTCCAGTGCATTAAACCACAGCACCACATCAGGAGCCACATCAGGAGTCCAAGGAAATGCTAGCTCTTAGCATTGTTATCAGTATGGCGCTGTGGGTTAATGCACTGGATGGCAAGGTTGGTTTGAGTGCAGGGTCGGCAGTTCAAGTTCACCAGCCGCTCCTGGGAAACCCTATACAAGGTCACTATAAGTCAGGACAAATTTGACAGCACTTAACAACAATAACTCTGGTAGCGTAGTGGTTACGAATCGGGCTGCGAACCGCAAGGTCAGCAGTTCGAAACTACCAGCTGTTCCGCGGGAGAAAGATGAAGCTTTCTGCTCCCGTAAAGATTTATAGCCTAGGAAACCCTGTTCAGGGTCGCTGTGAGTCAGAACCGACTCTATGGCACATAACCAACCAAACAACAACAACGAAGTCGTGGTGTGGCGCTGTGGGTTAATGCACCAGACTGCAAAGCCGTTTGAACTGCAAGGTCGGTAGTTTAAGCTCACCAGCTGCTCCTCGGAAACCCTATACAGGGTATCTATGGGTCCGAGCCAACTTGACGGCACTTAACAACAACAACAATAGCAACATTAAGGACAATGATCCCTGGTGGCACCATGGGTAAAGCATTGGGATGCCAACTGAAAGATCAGCAGTTCAAACCCACCAGCAACTCCATGGGAGAAAGATGAGGGAGTTGGCTTCCTTACAGACATACAGCTTCAGGAACCCTATGAAGCAGTTTTACTTTGTCCTGGAGTGAAGCGTTGTGGGTTAATGCGCTGGACTGTAAGTAGGTTTGAACCACAAGGTCGGCGGTTCCATCTCACCAGCCGTTCCTCGGGAACCCTACCCAGGGTCGCTATGAGTTGAAACCGACTCACTGACACTTAACAGCAACATAGGGTCACTGGACTTCTAGTGTGGCGCTGTGGGTTAGTGTGCTGGACTGCAAAGTCTGTTTGAACTACAAGGTCGGTGGGTCAAGTTCACCAGGCACTCCTTGGAAACCCTATACAGGCTTGCTATGGATTGAAACTGACTTGACAGCACTTAATAACAACAACAAAACCGGGTCACTAGGACAGGGACCTTTGCCCCTGTCAAATAGAGTAATCCTTCCTAGTGTCACAGTTGTTGTTGTTGTTAAGTACCCTGGAGTCGGTTCGGACTCATAGCGACCCTGTACAGGGTTTCCAAGGCTGTAAATCTTTACAGGAGCAGAAAACCTCATCTTTCTCCCATGGACCGACTGGTAGTTTCGAACTGCCAACCTTGAGGTTAGCAGCCCGATTTGAGTATTAAAGACAGAGGTCCCTGCTGGGTGCTTCACGCTGCTGTGCCACGAATGGGCTACAGAGGGTACATACAATAGCCCTGTATGTGCTGGGGTAGCCTACCTGCCCTGCTGGTTGGTCATCACCTGGTACTGATGTACTTGTCTTCTCTCCTATCACCCAGCCTGCCCTGTCTCACAAATGCCAGGCATTCTCAGATGAGTGTCTTGGCACATGTTTTTCCCTCTGTCAGGAGTACCCTCCCTAACCCCAGCCCCATAAATTCTCTTAGGCAGACAGTCTCATCCTCCTCTTAACTGCCCACACACTTTGCACATTCTTCTCTAATTATCAAAATGCTGGCCCATGCTGGCCTTTGGGCACGCTTCCTTCTGTTGGAAAGCTCTCATGATTGATGGGCCACTGTGTGTCATTGACAATGTGCAGGGTGACTTCCCGATGAAACCAGAGCTACCAGACCAGGAGCAGCTCTCCATGTCTGGGTGCCTGATCTCAGACTGACAACAAGGGACCGTCATTTACAGGCAAGGAAACAAAGGTTCATGGGCTAAGTCCAAGGTCAGGTAACTGTAAGTGGCAGAGCCATGGTTTGAACTTCAAATCACCAGTGGTCAATTACTTAGACAAATCACCTCCATCATATCACCATCACCCAGGTCCTGCTCACACAGCTGCCCCAGACCAGAGAGACAGGGTCACATCCGAGGCTCTGGAGCCATTCAGAGTGGGTCCAGAGGGTAACACTGAGTGTGTGCTGATGGAAGGGGCTTCCTTGCAGGGTGCTGAGGTCCCTGGGCTTGTGGCTAAGGCTGGAGATGTTGGCCTCTGAAAGCTAATATCTGAGTTGATGTCTAAGGCCTGCCTTTGCCCCTGTCAGATGGAGAAACGCCTCCTAGTGCCTGAAGATTCCCTTGAGTTCTTGAATACAGACTTGTCTAAGGTCAGGCCCAGGCTCTCCGTGAGGCTTGTGTAGAAGGTGAAGTCTATAGAGGTGGATCTGAAGGGCCTCTCTGACTTTTCTGGGAGGACCCAGGGCTGGGGGAAGGATGTTTTAGGCAGACATATGGCCACAGGCCAGGATTAGAGAGAGGTGGACAGTGGTAGGCAGATGCCTTCTTGGCCTGGGGGCCAGAGGACACCTGTGTTTGGATAGACAACTGCTAGTGTAATTTTTCTCTGCTACTTAACATTGGTGCAGGTTAATGCACTGGACAGCAAGGTCGGTTTGAACCACAAGGTCGGCAGTTCAAGCTGATCGTCCTCAGAAACACTATACAGGGTGACTATGAGTTGGAAGTTGACTTGATAGCACATAACACTGGAGGGAAACCTATTTTGACTTTTTCCAGAACTCAAATGGTGAAAAGCAAGGTACCACACAAACAGCCCCCCTTTTAAGTCAGGGGATGTCATGTGACCTGTCAATCTACTGCTGCAACCTCCATTGCCCAAACAGGCCAACCAGTGTCTCTGTGAAAAACAAGAAGAAGACAAGTCAGTATCAGCAGTTTGGTGTTTTCATTTTATGTTCTTTGGGGGAAAAGGTCCAGCGAGTTAGCCTAACCTGGGGCAGGTGAGCCTCAGTTCAACTATGCACCAAATAGCACTGTCTTCGTGTTTAAATCCTTTCTAGCTGCGTAACCCTGAGCTTCACCATGACGCAGCTCCAATTCCCTCCCCTCACAGTCTATGTACAATCCACTGCCATCTGGCTGATTCTGAGACTGTAAATCTTTGTGGGAGCAGAAAGCCTCATCTTTCTCCTGATGGGTAGCAAATGAATGACCACGTGAGTGAATGCTTCCACTACTTGTCCAGATATATTAGTAATGTTCTAAAGCATGCAATAGAGTCTTGGTTCTCTGCTGGTTTTCAGAGGAAGGCTTCATGCAAAAGGGCTGGGGTTTTGGGGAGGAACTGCTCTTCATCTGAGTCAGTGCTGTCTCCTCTATGTGGGGAAGGTAGAGTCAGTGACAAAAAAATGAAAATGGAGTGGAGTCCATTCCCACTCACAGGAACCCTATAGGACAGGGCAGAGTTGTTTCATAGGGTTTCCGAGCCTGTCATCCGTTCTCCAGTTTCTAAAAGAAAATTTCTAAGGCTGAGGTGGTCGGCCAGCCTGAGTTCCCATCAAAGGGCTGGTGCGGGGGAAGGATCTGGGAGAGACAGCAAGGGAGCGGGTGGAATCTGCCCCTGTCCTCCTGGAAACAGTCACAGCCATTCAACTTGCACATTTCCAAAGTATTTTATTAAAAAAGGAAAAAAAAAAACAAAACCAAACAAACAAAAAGTCCGACCCGGGAACGCGTGGTTCTGGGCGTGTAAGAGCAGCTCAGGTCTGTGGGAAGAGTAGAACCTGGAAGACGGTGTGGGGCCCTAAAGGCCTAGCGGAAGGAGCCCAGGAAACTGACCACAGGGGGCCGCATCCCTGGAGGGCTCAGATCTTCGCTGGGGCCTGGGCTTCTCCATTTGAAAAAGCTAGGTGAGGCTCACCCTGCTTTTCCAGGTCCGGAGAGGACCCAGATTGTTGGGGAGCTCAGACCCCAGAAAAAGGCAAGGTGGGCTGCTCTGGACAGGCCTCAGCCCTCTTGTCAAAGTCACCAGCCAATGGGGAAGGAGGAGAGGGAAGCCCGGGGCTCGTTCGGGCCTAATCAGTACCTTCCCCAAAAGTGAGGCTCAGCCCCACCCCCAAGGCAGTAGGTTCAGTTTGGGAGGCACCGCCCCAAATTCAGCTTGAGGCTCAAGGCCCTTGAGGAGATAGGGCCGTGCTGGGGTGGGCTCAGAGGCAGCCTCAGACTGGATCCTGATAAGACTGAGCAGGTCACAGCTTCCGGGGCCAGGGGGAGCTCAGGGGCCCTGGGGAGCACGGGGCAGCGCCCTGATGGGCCGAGGCGGCGGATTGTCCAGCACGGGCTCTGGCCGGACCCGCGCGCCTCCACGGCGCTTCTGCTTGCGCAGCAGGTAGTTGGAGTACTGCACTTCCGGCATAGCCAGCTTGAGGCAGGCCTCGGTGGCGGGGCCGGTACCACCGCTGGGCAGGTCGTAGCCCATAATGTCTACCTTGCGGCTGGGCTGCCATGGCTGCAGTTGCTTGGTGCGGATCTGTGCGGCAGGCCGGAGCACTGGCTCCGCGCCAAAACAGCGGCGAAGCAGGCGCTCGCGGGCCGCGCGCAATTCGCGCGCTTCGCGCTCCACGCAGGCGCGGCCGGCACGCGCCACGCGGCGCCAGAAGGTGGCGTTGAAGTGGTCGTAGAGACCGGCGTCAAGCGCGTTCCAGGCACGCGCGGCCCCAGCCAGCGCCGCGGGGATGGCGGCCAGGCGCGAGCTGGCGGCACGTGCGTTGAGCTTGGCGTACAGCACGTCGTCCAGGTCCCAGGCCAGCAGGCGCCGCAACAGCACGAGCGACTCGTCGAAGTACTCAGCGATCATGACCAGCGAGAAGACCTCCTCCACCTGGCGGATGAGGCCCGCTAGGTAGGCGGCGTCGTCGCGCGGGTTGCGCTCATTGTCGCCGCCCAGGTCGTAGGCCAGCGTGTTGTGCGCGAACATGGCGAAGTGCTCGCCCGCGCGGTAGTAGGCTTCGGGCGCACGAAGGAAGGCCTCAAGCGATGCGTTGGGCACACGTCGGAAGGCCGGGCAGTACTGGTTATAATAGCTGAAGAGTGACTCGAACATGGCGGCCGGCTCGCGCAGGATGGTGACGTAGACGGTGCCGGGTGGCATGAGGCGCGCCAACTCAGTGCGGTCGAAGCGCAGGTGGCTGGCCAGAATGTGTGGAGGCCGTGTAGCCGGGTGCACGAAGTGCGCAGAGAAGTTGCGTGGGTAGCAGAACTGGTGCTCGCAGCTGGGGTGCGGCAGGGCCACCGTCAGGTTGTGGCGTTCAGCGAAGCGGAACAGGATGTTCTGCACCGTCGTGCCGGCCGTCTTGTGCGTCTTCAGGAATGCCACGGTCATGTGTTTGGGGCGTGGTGGCGACTCTCGCAGTGGTGGGCAGCTCAGTGGGAACAACTTGGGGTACCTGTGGGCCCCAGGAATGCGTAGGGAGGAGAATGTGAAAGCGGTGCAGCCTCACCTTTGCCTCTTCCCCCAAAACAAGAGGATGTGCTACTGAGTGGCTCATCCTGATATAGCAAGATGAGCCCCCAAATCTCCCGAGGCTTGCAGGGAATCCCCTTCCTTTGAGTGTGGGCTGGACTTGTTGCTACATAAGGAGTAACGTGGGCAGATGTCACGTCTCAGGTGATTATAAAAAGACTACAGCGCTGTCTTTGGTCTCCCTCTTCAGGATAACTAGTGCTGGGGCTAAGTTGGCAGCCATATCACAAGCAGCGAATGGAGAAACATCAGCTGTCACCAGCCCCTAAGGAACCGAGAGGCCCTAAATCCATCGACCGCCTAAAAAAACGGAAGGGAACCCACATGAGTGAGCTTGGAAGCAGAGCCCTATCAATCAAGCCTTCAGATGAGACTGCATCACCAGCAGACAGCTCAAGTCCAACTTCATGAGGGACTGAGTCAGAGGCACCCAACCAAGCTACCAGGAAATGTTTGTTTTCAGCAGCTACATTCTGGGGCCTTTTGTTTATGTCGAACTTGAGGTAAGGGCAGATTTCACTCAGTTTAGAGTCTGGAAACCACTTAAAGTCACCTAATCCTCTTGTTTTCTTCTTTCTCAGTTTTCCTCGTACACTTTGTAGAGGTGAGTGGCACTGGGCTTTGAGACCACCCATTTGTTACAGCTCAGTTAAGGCCTTTGGAAGCTCACTCATTCATTCAACAAAGATTTTTTGGAGCATCTACTAAGGAGCTCTGGTTATGAATCGGGCTGTTGTTGTTGTTAAGGGCCGTTGAATCGGTTCCGACCCATAGCGACCCTGAACAGGTTTCCGAGGCTGTAAATCTTTACGGGAGCAGAAAGCCTCATCTTTCTCCTGCAGAGCAACTGGTAGTTTCGAACTGCTGACCTTGCGGTTCGCAGCCCGATTCGTAACCACTATGCTAATCGGGTTGTAGTGGTTATGAATTGGGCTGCTAACCTCAAATTCGGCAGTTTGAAACTACCAGCTGTTCCGCGGGAGAAAGACGAGGCTTTCTGCTCCGGTAATTGGTACTTAACAACAACAACTATGTGCCAGGTACTGTTTGTTCAAGGCTCATGTGATAACATTAATATGTAAAATGAAGAGTCAAAGACTAATGCTGGCCCCTCATGAAACATTCCTCATTACAGAAACCACGGCGTTTGAGCTTGTGAAGAACTTTTAGAGTTCAGGCTGTTAGTCTTTTAACTTAGACCAGCAGTTCACTCATCCGGAAAAACGGGCCCACGCACCCCACACTCAGTGGGTGGGAATAGAAATGTTGGGACCCCGAGAAGTGAGGTGTCAGTGCTGGTTGGGCTCATACAGTGAGTCAGGAGCAGGGCCAGGGTCATGCCATTTGTCACATGTTATCCTGGACCAGGGGGAGTAGCCTGGGTCACACAGGTAATCTCCATTTATGGATGAGGAAAGCAAGGCCCAGAAGTGAGGTAATTTACCTAGCACAGTGAGATAAGATGTGGCATTCCTTTCACCTAAGACAAGCTGGGAAAGGGGTTCATGCAGAGTGGAGAAAATGTGATTGATTGGAAGCGACCCTGTACTTGATTCTGACTGTATTCCAGTTCCAGCTGGCGCTGCTGAGCTGGATGACTTTTGAGTAGCCCTTTCAATGAAGACCTGTTCTGCCCAGGGAGGTTGTCTTGGCCCAAAGAGAATCTATGGAAAGCACCTTTCAACTATAGAGAAGGAGCAAAGCTGTGTGGAAAGGGGATTCTTTTGTCAGGTGGATGGAAAGAAAGCAAGTTGGACTCCCAGTTCAGGTCCAAACCCAAATGCCCAGCCCCTGGAGAACCGCCCTGCTTCCTTACCAGCTGAGCTGCGCCCCCTGGTGGATGAGGAGGCTTACAGTGCTGCACCCTAGCACCAGCAGCAGGATTTTCCTGCGGCTCATCATCTTGGTGGCTTGCTGCAGGCGCTGGAAGATGGGTGGCATGGTGGGGTGCCCACTCCTGGATCAGCTGGGGCCTCGCTATCCAGCACTCCCTTGGCCAGCACTCATGGGGGCTCCTGAGGCTCTGGTAGCAGGGCCAGCGTTCCTGGAGAGGCCTGGCAGGAGAAGGAGGCAGACTGGTTTGCTGTAGGAGCGATGGGCTCCGGGCCCCTGCAGGACTGCTGAAAAGGAGTGCTCCAAAGGGCTGGGAGGTGCAGAAGATCAGATTCCTGCCTCCTGTTACCCAGACCCTATCTCCTCACTGCTCCAGATAACTCAGACTAGGGTGGAATTACAGGGTCTGGGGTGTGGCCAGCCCTTCAGGCTAGAGTCGCACCCTCCCTCCCTCGAGCTCCATCTCCACCTCTCTGCCTGCCCCTAAATCATCTTTGTCTCGTGACCATCCATATTTGTCCCCCCAGCTGACTTACCTTGGCACCAGGGCTTGGCTGAAGTCTCAATTCACAGCATCCCCTCTTCCAGGATGCCTGATTGCTTCAGTTAAGAGTAAGCCCTAGCTCTCCAGAAACACAGACTGGGCCTCAGAGGCTTGTTGTTAAGTGCCGTCAAGTCAGTTCTGACCCATAGTGACCCTGTATAGGGTTTCTGAGGAGTGGCTGGTGAGCTTAAACTGCCGGCCTTGTGGATCAAACCGACTTTGCAGTCTAGCGCATTAACCCACAGCACCACATCAATATTTTGGGCTTACCCAATGTGCAATGCTATTTCCTATTCCATCTCATTTAATCCTCACCAGCTAACACAGGTATTCCCATATTACAGATGAGGTGGCTGAGGCTGTAAAAGATGATAGCAGTTGTCCAAGGTCACACAGGTGCTAATAGCAGAGCCAGGATTCAGACCCCATTATTTCAGGTTCCAAAGTCCATGCCCTTAGACACTGGGTGTTGCTTTGTAGTCAGCTGTTTTCCCCATCCCATCGCTGCTCTAGACTCGGGCAATTCTGCATGCTTCTACACCCTGAGTCCTAGTACACTCCTCTGAAAGCCCAAGACCAACCATCCTGGAGTGGGGAGGCGTGGAGGAACTTGAACTCCTGGGGAACCCTACCTGGAACCCATCCTCGGTCACCTGACACCCAGGCAGCCTCTACAGTGGGGTGTCTGACCAAGGCCATGGATGGCAGTGGGGGAGGGACAGGGGCATGGGAAGTATGGATTTGACTCCTGCTTGTCACCCTGCTGAGAATCTCCAGTGGAAGGTAGGCCCTGATCCTGAATGACTGGCAGGAGCGAGAGGCAGGAGAAGGGCCTGGTTTCCCGCCAGTCACCTGTCTTCACACAAGTGCCTTAGCTCAAAGGCAGCCTGGCTCTTGGCAGCTCCAGTGGAAAGTCAGTTTCAGCAGTGATACCTATATCCAAGCTAGGGTGCTATCTGTGTCTCAGGGACCTCTGTCTCCAGATTCATATCCAGCCTCAGCCCTTGTGCACCCTCCTTTCCAAAAGCAGGAGGAGCCTGGAATCTTCTGGGTGTGTGCATGTGTGTGGAACTAGGACACCTGGGTCCCCAGAGAGGTGAGGTAATACGAAAGCCCTTTTGACCATCACCTTCCCTTGGTGCCCTGGCTTAGCCTCCAGTCTCTGCTTGAGCATCCTACCAGCACATTTAATCCTGGATTACACTGTAACCTGTTGGGGTAGAAAGGTGGCCTGCTTATGCCTTCCCTTTATCTCCAAGCCCATCACCTGGTTTCCTCCAGCGACTTGCAGACAGACTTAATCCTTCTGGAGCCCAAAGCAGGGAAGAGGGTCTAGCCACAGAGGGCAACCAAGGGCAGAGCAGAGAAAGCCCAAGGCCTCCTTGTCTCTCTAAGGATTGCTGGGACAGAGGAGAGGCTGGCTCTGGCTGGTGGAAGTGGGGGTCCTTGGGCTGCCACACTAGGAGGCAAAAACCCTCCCTTCTCGTTATCACACTAACTCTCTAGAGGCGTGGTGCCTACACTGGAGTTTCCTAAAGAGCTGAGTGGGGAGCAGGCCCATTTCCCTCCATCACTCAGAGAAGCTGGGCCAGCCACGGTGGCCAGGCTTGTGAGGGCTGCAGTGGGTCTTCCTGGGGAGAAGTTTCAATCGGGCCACACACAGGAGGTGCTTGTACCCTCCCAGACTTCTAAGCATCACCATCTCCACCCCTATGGCCCAGGCTCATTGCAGCCCTGCTATCTCAGCACTGGGGTGCCCTGGCCACTCTGGCACTGGCAGGCTCCTCATCACCTTCAGAGTCTGGGCAGTCTGGGCTGTTGAAAAGTTCTTTCTGGGACAGGATCAGCCTGCCTCCGGGTGCCCTCCTTGTCTCCTCCCATTCTCCACTGTGGTTGGCACTGCCCTTTTCGGCCATATGAAAAAGACCTCTTTCCCCATGACAGACCTTCAGGTATTTGAAGGCAATAACCTTGTCTCCTCTGGGTGGGCATTTGGCCAGCATAAACTGCTGGCCCTGAAAAAGGGTGCTGCTGGGATGGTAGGGGAGGCCCTCCTTTCCTGGCAAGTTTGCTCTGGAGATGGAACAAGAGCACTGGGAGGGGCCATGGGTACGGGGCTTGCCCCCAGTCTCCGGCTGGCATGGGGTGAGGGGTGCTGCTGCTAGATCTCCTGGCCCTGAGTCCCCCAGTAATGCCTGCAGGGTCAGGATGGCCAACCTCATCAGAATATCAGCGCTAATTTTAGTAAGAACAGTCTACCTCAGACGGCTTTTGCAAATTGCTTTCCTTTCTCTAGGGACCCCAGAAAGAAATGGCACAGCCAGGTGCAGCTTGGAAGCATGGCACAGCCGTCCACCCATCCCAAATGTGCCCCATCTTCCCTCTCCACTTCTAGCTCCAGAGCTACTACTGATGCACTTAGGGGAGGAGTGGTCTGGCCATGACCACTAGGCTCTGGCAGCCGGGTGACCTGGGGACCCCATTCTGACTTGAGGGCTGGCAAATGGGGAAAGTGACCCCATGTGAGGAACAAGGGATAGAGGGGGTGGCCAATTAATGGCCCCAGGAGATCAAATATCTTTCCACCTTCCTCTTTCTCCTTTTCTTCCCCTAGCTGGCGCTAGGTCCCCAGCCCCCTCTCTCTCTCATCCACCCCCACATCCTTGACTCTGAATCTCCCACATCCTCCTCTCTCCATCACTGCCCACCCCACCATTCCCTCAATTTCATCTCAACCTCTCCCAGGGCTGCTGTCACAGGTCTCGGGTCACCCTGGGGCACAGGCCAGCATTGCCCTCTTGCCTGGACCTCTCCCACTCCCTATGGGGCAGTGCGCCCCTCTTTCAGCATCGGGGCTCTAGGCCCCCCCCCCCCCCCCCCCCCCCCCGACACTCTGCCCACCCTCATGCCCCAGCCCCAGGCGGCCACTGCAGCACTCACGCAGCACGGGCTCAGCCTCCGACCCGGCTGTTTAGGGGTGGTCTCCCTTAATCCCCCGCCTTGGTCCGGAGCTCCGCGTGGATCTGAGGGTGCCGGGCCCCTGCACGCCCAATGCCGGCCGCTCACCGATCGGCGCTTGGATGGGATCAGGTGGCAATAGCGGCCGCTCAGCTCCGCTCTGCTCGGCTCTGCCCACCACCCGCCCCCCATCGCACACCGGAGGCGGGGCGGGGGCGGGGGCACGGAGCAGGGGAGGGGCAGAGAGAAGAGGGGTGGGGGGGAGGAGAGGGGGTCCGTCCTAGCGGCTCTGCTGGTGTCTTGGGATGTGGGCATCTTTGTCCCGCAGGCTCCATGCTCGTGGGGACTAGACACCACTGTGGCCAGCCCTCTTTCTCTCACTGTAGAGAAGGGGAAACTGAGACCAGTCAGGTGTCTAAATATTCCAGCCCCTCCCTGGTGCAGTTAAGAGGCAGAGATGCGTTTACAGTTAGTTACCCATGTGTTCCCTCTCCCCTCCCCTGTTTACCTCTAGCAAGAAACATAGCTCCAGCCCCTTGCATCCATCTGCCCTCATACCTTGGGACCCAACCTGCCACCCACCCCTGCTCACACTCCTACTCCCCGACAGGCCTCTTTACCTTAGCTTTCATGGACCTGGCCCAGGCAGCAGGCCCACCCTGCTCTGTCATTGAGTCCCATAGTCAAGAGGCAACACCTTGGGCCCATTGCCTCCAGTTCCAGCTGGAAACTCGAAGCTGACTCGCCTGTCCTGTCTTCTAGAGCTCTTCTGGAACTGCAGAGACAGTACAGACTTAAGGCCCGCTGGAGTGTGTGGACGGGGTGGTCCTCAATTTCCCACTGCCTTCCTAATTGTTGCTGTTGTTAGGTGCCATCAGTTCACTACTGACCCTTAACCACGGGAAGCACAACAGAAGGAAACACTGCGCTTATATGTGAGCCCATGGCTGCTGCCACTGTGCCAGTCCATCTAGTTGTGGGTCTTTCTCTTTCTCTGACCCTTCATTTTAACAAACATGATATCCTTCTCCAGGGACTGATCCCTCCTGACAATATATCCAAAGCATGAGAGATGAAATCTGGCCGTCCTGGCTTCCAGGGAGCATTCTGGCTATACTTCTTTCAACACAGATTAGTTAGTTCTTTTGGCAGCCCATGCTACTTTTAGTATTCCCCTACCAACACCATAACTCAAATGCATTAATTCTTCTACAGCCTTCCTTATTCACTGTTCAGTTTTTGCAAGCATATGAGGTTATTGAAAATACCATGGCTTGGTTCAGGCACACCCTTATCCTCAAACTGACATCTTTGCTCTTCAACACTTTAAAGAGGCCTTTCTAGTACTGAGCTCTTAACCAAAGGTTGGAAGTTTGAGCCCGCCCAGAGGTGCCTCGGAAGGAAGGTATGTCGATCTATTGTAGAAAAATCAGCTGCAGAGAACTCTGGGGAACACAGTTCTACTCCGACACACAAGGATCACCATGTGTCAGAATCGACTTGATGGCAACTGGAATCAGTCCTTAGTTCCTGCCACCAAGGAACTGGGCAGCACCACCTTGCCAGAGCAAGCCAGTTGTCAAGAGCCCCTCATTTGGTTTGTGGCTGAGATAGACCCTGCTTTCTCTCCCTCTGGTCCTGGTGTGGCAAGGATGCTGAGGACTGGATGAAGCTGGGTAGGTGCAATGTGAGAGTCTTAGTTGAGGAGGAAAAGAGAACTGTGCATGGTCACAGTTTGGTCCCTTGGGCATGTCA